AATGCACTCGCTTTCCGAACACACCAGTTATTTACATTTTTGTGGTAGTAATAAGCCGATTGTAGCAACCAGGTTGACCTTGAAAACCTAAAATGGCGAAAGCGCGATAGATTACAGCATAAATGAAGTAAGTCTTTTTTTATTTGGGATATTTGCGCCGGCTATAGTTCGTGATGGATTTCTCCAAAATGATAACTTTTCCAGTTGTTTTGACCAATGTTGCATTACCAGGTGGTCTGCATGCCGACAATCCTAACGTTTTTTTGGTTTTTTGTCGTTTCCAGAAATGATTATTAGCTTAATTTCACCTTAGAAGCTCTCTTGGCAAGGCTTTGGCCGTTTCTTCATTGTTGTCCCATAAAATTCGTTGTACTTCAGCAATCATACTTTTTAAAATGTTTTATCTGTCTTTGGCAACTCCTTCATTGTTTAGAATATTTTAATTAAAAGCTTTAAAAAAAATTTACTTTGATAGAATTACTTGGGGCTATTTATTTTTTTGGGAAAGTCGTTTGGGCATAGATATTTTTGATAACTTTTGAGCAAAATTCATAGCCAAATGATCGATTTTTTTTAACTAAAATTTTCCAAATTGATTTTTTTGACTATAAAAGGGTTACCTGTAGTGATTGGCAGGGACTAGCGTGGAAATATTTTCGTGCTTTTTCATTAACTCATTTTGTTTTATTGCGTATTGAACATGCCGAAATTCTTGAACCTGTTAATTTATAGTTCTTTTTTTTTCTCAATTAATAAAGCTGGGCAACTTTTACCGTTGCTTTGACCAACGTTACTGGATTGATTGGCGGTCAGTTTGCTAGCGATTTTGACGTTCATTTCATCGCAGAAATGCCAATTCAATGGTTTTTTCAACATAAACATTTGTTAAGGCTGTTACTGCTTTGAGCTGTCGTCTTCTTGGCCTGCGTTGATATTCACATTTTCCCGGATTTTGTAATAAATGAGGTTATTTTATCGATTGGAAGGGATGATAATCATAAAAGTGGGAAATCTTTGGTCCCAGATTGATCAGTCTCAAAAACCTTGAACAGATTGAACAGTCTTGAGAATTAGGAGGCCATATTAAATTTGTGAATTAATTTTTTTCTTAAAGTTTGTTTTTGGTGCTTGGCGAACCTGAGCATTCTTTCGTCTGAGTATCTTCTTTTTATCTGAGTTGAAAAAAAAAAAAAACAACCGTTTTTCAATGAGATTAAACTGCGAAGCGACCTAATTCCGATCATCAAAGTTTTTTGCCGTTCAGCTGTTTTTTTTTTCGTTTTAT